TTGAGTTTTAAACTCTTTGTTAAGGTAAGAGTCTGCTTCCAATGTGGAGAGTGTACCGTCCCAAGCTTCAGGGGTTTGTATAGCTGTTTTCAGAGATACTTGTAGGGACTTGTAAATTTTCAGTTCTTGCAAGGTGGTATGATAAGGGTGAGGTGTTTCCTCCTTTCCTGGACTGTGACCACAAGTACTCCTTTCTGTCCTGTAACTGTGAGGAGGGGTTCCTCTGCACAAAGCACTACAAGCTCCACCATGCCAGCACTCCTCCTCACCCCAGCACCGCTGCCCAGAACTGTGACACAGAACCACACACAGGCAAAGCAAGAGATTCCTGAATCACCACTGGCAAAGAGATCCCTGCAGTCCCTCTCTGATCAGCCACTGGATTCCCCCTCAGTCTGTGGGCCGGGAGCTTGGGAAGCAGCTGCCCACCCAGGGCCAGGCTCTTGGGGAATGGAGCTGAAACCCCACCTTCCTCTCTGAGCACTGGCAGAAACAGACTTTTCCCACTGACCTTCTAAGTTGTTTTTGGCATTCGTGTATTGAGGAGTCTGGAAACTTCCACAGCTGCCTGTGATTCAGTCCTCTGAGGCTTGCTCCAGGTTTGCTGCAGCCTGCGCGCCCACGCTGCACTGCGCTCCCAGCCCAGAGCGATACACCTTTCTGATCAATCATCCAGGTTGTCTTGGGCTGGAAATTTGTTTCACTCTGTCTTTTTGTGGGTTCTGCTGCTTCAGAATTTGTTTAGAGCCATTTTTTATGAGTATTTTGAAGGGTTTGAGGGAGAGCTCAAGCAAGTCACTGCTTTCACTCCGCCATCTTGGCTCCGCCCTATCGCTTGTTGTCCATTCTCAAAGAGGATCAAAATGACATCAACATATCAGGGTCAAGCTATAGTGTATCCACCTGTTGCTGATTGGACCAATAAAAGCTCAGAAGGCTCTACCATGGTCGGGTGTAAGTAGTCCATATGACATTTGGAGTGGAGATGTCTCTAAAAGTGTGCATTTCTTTTGAGATGCTGCCATTCTACTTTACTCATAGATCACAGTACTGCCAATTCCACCTACCCTGCCCCCAACACCATGTTTTATTTTATTTATTTTTTTATTGCAAGGGATGAAACTGGGGGTGGAGAGGAAAAGATTAATTCTGGAAATTTAGGTGATGTAAGACCAAAAAGCAGAATAATTAAAAAATAGAACAAGAAAAGAAAGAACTGTGTGTTTGCAATGAGTAGAACTGGAGTCAAATCCCAGCTCTGAAACTTGGTACCTAGGCAACCTTATTAATCATCTCACCTTTCTTGTCTCACCTTTCTCATTTGTAAAAAGAAATTAGTTAGACTTCATGATCTCTAAGATACCCCTACAATGATAAATATGCACCTTGTCTTTGGTGGAGTTGGTATTGCCCTGTGAACAGTCTTCTTGAAAATGTAACAAGTCCTGAGTTACTTTAGTTTCACCATATATAGACTTTGATTTGATTTCATGGTTTCTTCTTTCAAACTGGGGAAGTTTGGATTTATTTTGTACAATGGTTTCTAGAAGGTAAAAATGAAAAAGAAGTCTTTTGGAAGGTAATAAACTATCATTTATGACGCAAAGTCTATGGGATAACTTGAATTAATGTCAAGAAAACCATTCTGATGTCTTAGCTTTTCATTCTCTTAGAATGTTTATTTTTTTTACCCAGGATATTTATAATTGCAGATGTAAATGAAATCTTATGTGATTCAAACAGCCTTGTTTGCTGCTCTGAGTAGATTAGGTATCAGTTATAGGTGATCAATTTTCCATAGAAAAGCCCATGGCCCATCAGCAGTGTGAGGGTCCTAGTGTCCTCATGAGCCCCATTCACTCCTGGAAGCCCTGTGGTACTTGGTTTTCTGTTGTGCAGATGTTGGCAGCTGACTCCTGGAGTCAAAGAGTATCAAGGATATGGTTTTAACTATTCATCTTTGGAGCCTCACAATTCATTATTCTAATGAGATGGTAAGCAATTGTGTTTGCTGCCTTCTGCATATGCTGAAACCTAATTCTTTTCTCTGCACCTGTTCTTGGTTTCACGTCATCAGGACCACTTTTTAAAATAGTCTTATAAAGTTTCGGAGTATTGCTTCAGTGGAGTCAGATGGTAAAACTTTGCCCTTATGAGATCAAATATTTTCAATATTCTCTATTGATTTATGTATTTTTGTAATGGTCTAAGTCATTGCTTGTGTTATGGAAATTATAGAATAATTTGGCTGGAATGGAACCCAAGAGGTCAAGCTCTAACTTCAGACAGGATCACACTTATGTCATACCAGGATAATGAGATGGTATCTAAGTCATTTTTTTAAAGACATGCAATAAAAGGAGATTCCAAAATTAGAACTCATTGGATTTAGGGCTGGAAGAGACATGATAGAAATTATATGGGCTAAATCCTTCATACTGTGGAGGAGAAAACTCATGCCTATAAGGTTCTTACTTGCCCAAATTTATCCACACTGCAAGTGGTAGTGATTTAGTCTTGTGCATGAAAATCCAATACAATGTTCTCTTTTTCACACTGCCCCACTAAACTTTCATTATACTTTACTGGGTCTAGGTAATGTAGGTACTCTTTACATAGATGTGCATAAAATCCATCCGTGTGCTTTCACCTTATGTGATTCTTGTCCATGTCTCCCTATGATTCCTCTACAGAGAATCAAATAAACTTGCTGGAGGCCTTTTGCTAGCCTTTTCATCTCTGTAAACAGGGTACTGTGAATAGTAGGAAGAGTGCTGAATGTAGCCTCAGGAGATCTATATTTGACTTTCGGTTTTGCTACTTACCACCTGAAGTGTGTGTCATTTTCCTCTCTGAACCTCTCTTCTCTAAAACAAAGGAGGGGCCATAAGGAACTTCATGATCTCTAAGATCTTTTCCAGCCCTAAATCTTTTATTGTCATCAACTCATCTCCCTTTCAAATCGGGAATGTCTTAGAAAATATCTCTCACATCATAACTTGAGGTCATCACAATTAGCTATAAGTTCAGGAATATGGTGAGATGATGATGATGATGATGATAATGATGGCAATGGTGGTGGTGGTAAGGAAGAGGAAGAAGAAGAAAAGAAAAAAGAAAAAGAGAAGAAAGATGGAAGCCATGGTCATGTTGATGATTATGGTGAAAACATAGAGAAACAGAGACTGTTGTTGTTGTTGCTGTTGTTGTTGTTCAGTCGTTTCAGTCATGTCTGACTCTCTGTGACCCCATTTAGGATTTTTTTGGCAAAGATACTGGAGTGGTTTACCGTTTCCTTCTCCAGCTCATTTTAGCATGAGGATCTGAGGCAAAACAGTTAAATGACGTGCCCAGATCACACAGCTATTAAGTGTCTGAGGCCAGATTTGAATTCCTGACTCCAAGCCCTGACTCCACGTATCACCTAGCTGTTCCCAAACATTATCTTATTGATATTCTCCTTTAACCAACACAAGTCATGACCTGTCTGTATTTCTCCCATGCATCTCTCCACTCCTCCTTGAACTACTTATTTGAACTGTTTGTATAATGTGGTATTCCATGATTTGTAGTCATGTATCATTATTGAGAGAGAATTTTTCCCAGAAAGATGGGTGTGTGTGTCATGCATGTACATATGTTTGAAGCACTGCACACTTTCTCAAATGTGGTTCACCCTATTTTCTTCTTCCTACTCAGTCTTACTACAGTCTTTGTTGTAGGCCAAGGTTCAACTGGAGTACTTGCCCAAGAAAATTATATTGAAGAATGACTTAATGTCTATCTAACTGCATGTTATGTTTGGACAATATAGATTCTACATCAAGTTGGACTTTTAAAATCAAATTATAATCTCTATAGGTCACTTTGCCAACTCTAAAGTCCAATGTAAATGTCAAGTATTATTTTTATTTTTCTGTATGGGTTGTCAGGCCAATATCTTTGGAATGACTGTATATGTAAGTAAGGGTGCTATGCAAGGCTCCAGGGCTGGACACAATCCTTCAAATGTGACAATGCAAAGGACATCTGGAGACCTTCACTATCTGTAGGGAATTCCACTTTCATTTGGACTCTGCATAGGCGTGTTCCATTACACTTCATAGTGCAAACACTTTTGGTAGCATATGTCCATCCATCCACCAATTGCTGAATCAACAAACAAGCGTGTATTAAGCACCTACTATGTGTCAGGTATTTTGCTAGGTACTCAGGATACAAAGACAAAAGCTAAATCGTCCTTCCTTCAAAATCTCATATTGTGTTGAGGGGGAAATAAAGGTACATATATAATTATATAAGGAATATATACAAAATTACTTCAAGGTAATTTAAGGGGGCAAGCACGGTCAACTGAATTCTGAAAGCAGTTAAAGATTCTAAGATGCATAGATAAGGAGGGAGTGCATTCTGGAAATGTAGATAGCCTAGGAAAAGTTATGTAGATAGAAGATCAAATACCATATACAAGGAACAGCAAGAAGTCCAGTTTGGCTAGATCAGAGAGTTCATAAAGGAAATATATGTTGTACAGCTGGAAAAGTAGTTAGGAATGGGATCATAAAAGAGCTAAAACACCAAATAAAAGTGTTTTCACTTGATCTTAGAGAAAATAGAGAGAGAGCAGTGTCTATTGAGTAGGATAATGTCATGGTCAGACCTTTGCTTTAGGGAAAAAATGCTATTTGGCAGCATTATTGAGGAGCAATTAGAAAAGAGAGTGACTGGATACAGGGGCACCATTTAGGAATCTATTGAAATGGTTCAAGCAAGAGGTGGCACGGGCCAAAACTTACTTGTGGTCTTATGACTGGAGAGATATGGAAAGTTTGACTCTGGAAGGATGACAATGTTATAGGAGGAGAGGTAGGAGAGATGATAGAGCCAAGTTAGCTTTGTATATATTTTGTTTTGTTTTATGTTTTAAGAGTAGGAGAGAAATGTCTTTTTTTGTTGTATTCCTTAGTTGATATTAATATGCAAGTGATCTTTGATCATACCCATAGGGAGCAGCAAGACTTGGAGAAGGTCCAGGTGATTTTATCCAAATTCCCAAGCTTCAGCTTCTGGATATGAATCTATGATCCTATGAAATAAAAGAGGTTATAGAATGAGGCCTTCTAGCTGACCAAGAATGCTAGAAAGGGCAAAAATGGTTCTTCTTTTCATTAGCTCTACAATTCTAAGCATTTTTAAGTAGTTTTATGTTATCCCCTCCACTGAACCTAGTCTTGTATTTATTTTTCAATTGCCACATCTCATGATGACCTTTTCTCAGGCTCGTATATCTTAACTTCTCTGAAACAGCTGGCACCGTATACCATCCTCACAACCTCTGCTCTTTTGGTTTTCACCATGTTGGTTCACATCTTGTTTTTCTGTTACCAATCTGTTTGCTACTTCTGCTTCTTTTGTCATCTCATTATCCATGTCCTAGTTTTTGTGTGTGGCTGTACCTCAGGTCTCTATCGTGGATCATCTTTTCTGTTTCTTTCAGTAAACTGATCAGTTCTAATGGCTTCAATTGCCATCTTCATGCAGATGACTTCCCAGATCTATAAATTCAGTCCTAGTTTCTTTCCTGAGATCCAGTACCACATTACAAACTACCTATTGGATGTTTCAAACTGGCTGCCTCTTATGTACCTCAAATTCTACATGTTTAAAACAGAACTCATTCTATTTTGACCAAAAACCAATTCTATCTTCCTAATTTTCCAGTTTCTGTCATGATCATTATCAATTTCATGGTCATCCCCATTCACAACCTTTGAGTCATCCTCAACTCTTCCTTCTCCCTCACTTTTTTTCATCTAATTGCCTAGTCTTGTTGATTGTACTGCTATACTTTGTCTGTTATTGGTCCCCTTCTCTCCACTTACAGTGGCCATCACACTACTTTTGCTTTAACTGTTGCAGAAGTCTCCCAATTGATCTTCACAAATCCATTCTCTCTGTTCTCCAATCTATAAGCCACGTAGCTTTCAAACTGATTTATTAAGCACAGGCATGACCATGTCCCTTACTGCTCAAGAAGCTCTATTGGATACATATCTATTAGATAAAATACAATTTCTTCTGTTTGGCTTCTAAGGCCCTTCATAGTCTATTTCCAACCTAACTTTCCACCCTGATTTCTTCATGTACACTGCATTCCAGTTAAAGCAGCCAACTTGTTATGCTTTATATATTATATAAATGATAGAGGTAAATTTCACATATTTTTCATTTTGACTGATATTTCTTTCTTGTATTGTGCTCATTTTTGGAATCCTACTCATTGGTCCCTGATTTTAAAACTTTGCCTAGATTCACAGTTTTTAGGATTTAGAGCTGAAAAGGGCCTTAGAGATCTTTTGGAACAATGTGACTTTCTCACCTTACAGAGGAGAGAGTTGGTGGGCATCATGTTTCAGAATTCCTTTTCTATGGCTGATCTATCACTATTGCTTTAATTCTCATCAATTTCTCACTTTCCCTCCTCAAGGCCCTCAGCCTTCCATAATCTCACCCATTGTCACCTCATAATAACTGAGAAGATTCTACTTAGGAAAACTCTGTTCAAATGTATGGCATATTTGACAGGATACTGGCTCCTGCTTTTCATTAAGATTTATTATAAATCTGTCTTTGAGAGATTCTCTGAAATCATCCACTAGTTCATGCAACTCTTTCCTCAGCTACTGTGCATATAAATCACATATGCCTATATATCTATAGTGAAACAATTTTAAAAATTGTGAGAGAAGGGGATAGTATCTCACCTACGGAGAAAAAGAAATTGTGAAGCATTGAATTTTATATGATGTCTGCCCCATAATAATCCTTTATTAAGATTTGTTGGTTGATGATATGAAAACTGTATAAAGAACTCTGAAGTGGGGAATTCTTTACCAAGTTTGATCAGCACCTTATCTCTAGTTTATAATCTTAGAAAATTGCCTAGAGCTTTGAAAGTTTAAATGATTTGTCCAAGATCATACAGATTGTATGCGCCAGAGACAGGACTTGGACCCAAACCTTCTTGGCTTCAAAGCCAAGTCCCCATGCACTATGCCATGTTGCCTCTCGATAGGACACGGCATTGTAAAAATTGACAGAAATGAATGATTAAAGAAATACCAAATGTAATCCTTGGTGATCAAAGCTAACTCTCTATAATATGATAGGTGGCAGGAAGCTGTGAATGTATAGAAACAGCAAGAAAGGATGAGTAGACAAAGGGAGATTGAAAATGAAAGGGGATGACCAAAGAAGAAAATTAATGGAAATGTCATGAGATGATATCATAGACAAATAGAGCAGGTTTCACTTATGTAAGAATGTCTCCTTGGTAAATATTCCTCAGAGAGATATAACGAAAAGAACTTCAGCAAACAAGGGAGCGGCTCTTATTAGGGCGATGTTTAAGGTTTTGAGAAGAGGACAAGAGAGCCTTCAAGTCAGGTAGTTGACTTTCTCAACAGAGGAGGAGAGAAGTCCTTTGTTTTTGACAAGGACCAATGACTCCGTGGGCGATATCTTGACTAGCTCATGAATTGGACTTCAGTGAGGCAGAGTTGCACAAAGTCTCAGCCTCATTCTCTCTTCCAGAGTCATCTAAGTGCAGTGGCAGGGCAAAAGTTAATATGCAGTAGATGCAGTAGATGACCTTGGCATCTTCAATGTCTGACTAAGCTCTAAGTATGCCACAGTACTTGCTTCAGCTGCCTTCATGACCATTGGTACAAAGGGGGAAGGATGGTTTCAGGATAGAAGAGGTTAGCAAAAGCTGTTATAGGAAGTGGGAGAGAAAGTTAATCAGTATAGGAAAAACAAATACATAACACATACACACATGTATGTGTGTGTGTGTGTGCGTGTGTGTGTGTATATATACATGTATATATACACACACACACACGCACACACACACGCACACACACACATATCTATATCAAGAGCTGAATTGAAATTAAGTTAAACCACGTCTGTATTGGATCCACATTACGAAGTTTCATGATTTTAGTCTTTAGCAGCATGTAAGAATGGAAAAGGTGGATAGTGGGGATATCTTAGGTTAAGGATTGGTTAGATATGGGCAGTGACAAAGCAATTGAAGGATGGAGAATAATGTATAGTTGATTCAATCCATGGTCAAATTTTATTGTTTCTACCTTCCCATCATCTCTTCTCTATGTCTTCTGCCCTCCATTTGAGTTCAGGTCTCAGGTCTTTTTATTTGGACTATTACAATAGCCTTCTATTATGCCTCCGTTTTGTAAGGTGTAGCTCTGACTATGTTACTCTGCTGCTCAGTGAGATCTAGCTATTTCCTGTTACACTTAGGAGTAAAAATAAACTCTGGTTTGGCATTTAAAATTGTAGGAGCAGCTAGGTGGCTCAGTGGATAGAACACTAGCCCTGGAGTCAGGAGGACTTGAGTTCAGATCTAGCCTCAGACATTTGACGCTTGCTAGCTGTATGACCCTGGACAGGTCACTTAACCCTGATTGCTTGCAAAAATTAATAAGTAAAAACTGTTTATAGCTGACTTATTTTTTGCCTTTCCAGTCTTCTTATGTTTCATTCTTCTCTCTACACTTCATAATCCAGCTACACTGGCTTTCTGATTCCTAAAATGTGACACTCCACCTTCCATCTGCATTCCTTGGCCCTGTTTGTCTCCAATGTCTGGAGTGCCATGCCCCCTTATCTCCACCTCCTGCTTTTCCTTGCTTCTTTCTAGATGAGCTCCAATCCTTCCTTCTGCGCATGAGGACTTACCCATACCCCCCCCCCAAGTTGGTAGTACCTTCCCTCCTCATTACCTTGGACCTACTTTGTAAATGACTGGCATGCACCTAGTTATTTACCGGTTGTCTCCCTCCATTAGGATACAATCTTGTGGGAAGAGACATTTTCATTTTGTTTTTGATTTTGAGAGCTTGGTACAGCGCTTTCAATACAGCAAGCACTTAATAACTGGTTTTTAACTGACTGACCATGGGCAGCATTCTTTAAATCATGTGTCGTGACCCCATCTGGGCTCAGGACAATATTGGCAAAAGTAAAACACACAACGGCCAAAATTAATTCAAAATCAAACGTGTACTCAATCTGAGGCGTTTCTGGCAGCACTTGTCCATGCTGCATTCGGTAACTTCACTGCAGCCTTGGCTCAGAACACAAATCATGCACACTTTGCACCATGCATGCCCTCAGGCCATCAGAAAGATGCCTAAACGGGAAAAGGGGTTGTGAGTGGAAAAGGTTAAGAAGCCCTGCTAGAGATCAGTTATTGTGTGGATAAATGGTAGATTTAGAAAGAATCAAATAGACTGAGAGATGTAAGAACAGAAGGAAATGCTGAGATAGGGGATTACAGATGTCAGTATCATGGAGATGACATGATTATGAGTGGTGGTGAAATCCCAGTAGGTGGCTGAGTGGAAGTGAAAATATTGTTCTTGAGAGACTGATAGAAAGGAAGTCCGCAGTGTTCAAGGGGGCAAGGATCTTTATTTTGAAATCCTTAGTTTGTGAGTGGGTGGGGAGAAACACTGTGAGACAGATCCTGAACCCCTCAATAAAAGATGATCTCCCACGATGAACGGCCTTGAGAATGAAGCAAGGGAATTTGAACTTTGCTCAGAAGGCTACAAGCAATCAATGAACATTTCTGAGCAGAAGAGTGACCTGACAAGAGCTGCGTATAACAAACACTATTATACAGGACAGCATATAAGGAAGTGAAAGGGAAGTCAGAAGATCTGTTAGGAGGACATAGCAATTGTATTAAAGAATTGCAACACTCTTAAAAATATGCAAATAACGTTTTAATGAAAACTCTAGTGTTTTGCATTTTTAAGTATAATTTACAATATTTCCCTCTAGACACATTGCCAACAGTGAAACTCACTTGCCAGAAATTAGCCGAGAGCACCTCATATTTTCTGACTGTTTATAACTGTGAGCTTGGCCGTTTGCTTCCTGAGAAGAGTTTGATATTACTTAATGATCTGTCATTTTCATTCTGCCATATTATTTTTAAAATGTGGAATAAGACAATGAAAGGGGCTGAGAGATAAATAAGAGGAGATAAACTGGCTGGGCTTTATTGGGAAAGTAAGACTCCTTTCAGTGATTCCAAGTTTCTCCTAGAAGCTAAAGCCCATCTCTTAGCACTGATATTCACCTATTGACACTATGTAACTCTAAACTATGGAATTCCATGATCTCAGGAGAATCACAATGAAGGGCAATAGAAAGATGTTGAATGGGCTGGGCAGCCAGAGCCATAGAACCAGTTTGTGACTTTTGTGTTAGAATTTGTAGAAATGTTGTTACTAAAGCTACTGAGGATGTGTATGATTTGAGTGTTAGTGAGCCAGTGATTCATAAAAAATCAGGCTCAGTGGTATTTGGTATCTTAGATATATCAAAATGCTGAGGAAAGCCTCCAAAACAGTGGGTATGTCCTGTATAATACATTTAAAGAATGACAGAGACATGTATCTTGCAGGATGAAGATATGGGAGAGTTATCACCTAAGGAGTTCCCTAATTAACAAGATCATGCATTCATTGGTATATCTAACTGTGTGAGATGAAAGTGTTTCTTGGGAACAAGTCCATGCTTTCCTGTAATATATGTTTATATTATTATTTTAATAGCTAAAATTATTTTCAATGGAAATTCAATAATTAGTAACCAAATTGAAACATAAGCGATGAAGCACTTTATATTCTAGGATCCTATTCATGTATAGTCCTGAAGGAAATTATACCCATTGCTAAAGGGAAGTTTTGTGGGGTTTTTTAAATTTTTTTTTTACATAGGCCAGTGTTAAGCAAAAAGATATCAATCTATGACACATAAAGTAACTGCTGATAGTATAGCCCAGGCTCACAGCTGAAACTGGTTTGGAACCCCGCAAAGCCTAGGGAGTTTTGATAAATGGAGATAAATGATTAAACTATTTCTGCCTTTCTAGGTCCCAGCAAAATATGACAGCAAATAAGTTTTCAAATATATTTATGCTGCCCCTAGAAGCTAGGTCTCTGCAGCATCATTATTCCTAGAGAAACTTTGCAGATGGATTGGACATTGGGAGTGTTTCACAGCTGTAAAAGATTTAGATCACTATAATGTATGGTCTGTGCTATAATAACCGATGTTTTGAAAATCAGGGAGCAAAACTAAAGGAAAACAGGTAGGGGGATCTTTAACAACTATAGCTGAAAGGAGAATTCTTAGCTGAATTATACCTGAAGCGGCTGACAAAAAATAAAATAAATAGTTTTGGTGACATGTAACTGAAAAGTTTTGCACAAACAGAATCAATAAGACAATATAGCTCATAGGATAAAAAAGCAAATTATTGAATGGAGGGAAAAGTAAAACATCAACAATGCAACAAACATCTCTTATAAGGGTCTCATATCCAAGACGTAGAGGTAATTCCTGCAAATACATAAGGCCAAGTGCTGT